GGGCCCGACACGTCAAAACCCTCGAGTTTGGGGGTTCTTTTTCTTGGTGCTCGAAACTCATTCTGGCGATCCAGGCTAAAATAGGTCGGAACATCATAAGCTCCGGCAAACAAAATGGAGTGGCCGATTTGGGCTGTTCTCGGCTGCGGGGGCCCTCCATGGGACTTGGGACGGTCAAAACAAACTACTCGGGATGGAAGGCCGGCCCGACAGGGAAGTCGTACAGAACTCCGACGGCCCACGCATCCAACACATCGGAGCGCCAGATGTTGTAGCGTTCTGGGGCACCCTCGGAGCGATCCGGTGGAACAGGCGGGGACCGCGGGATCTCAGAGATACCCGATTTGTCCCAGTCCGGTGTGTTCCCATCCCATTTTTCTTCGCTGTACCGCCGGAAGGGATCGAGAGGTCTGGGGAGCCATGGGAAAGAACTCGACGCTGGATGTGAGCAGTGGCGGAGGAATGTTGCTTGCGCTGCCGCCGTCACGACCAGAATCGCCTCGCAGTCCTGATCGGAACGCTCTTCGGGGCACGTCCAGGGGCCGATCTGGGAGGGGGTTTGGGGAGGAGAGGGAAAATGAGGAGAGGACCCAGATCTCCGACGATCTCTGCTGGCCTTCGGCCCATCCCGCCACCGTGCCTGGGCTGTGGGGATGGAGTCTCTTGGATGTCCGTTGGGATCTCGTGGGGGGCCCCTCAGGGGGCCTCGGAGGCAGTTTGGAGGCCTCGGGAGAAGGAGAGGAGGACCCAGATCTCCGGGGATGCACAGTCAAAAACCCCATATAATACGAACGCGCGACTTTGCTCAGGGTACCCTTGCGTCCTTGCTCGTCCTTGCTCTTGCGTCCTTGAGGTTTTCGTCGTCCGCCGCCCCAAAAATCCCAACTTCGGCTCCCAAGGGTCTTGCGTCCTTACCGCGCGTCCTCATTAGGGTTTTTGACTGTAGTCCGTTTTTTGACTGTAGGCCTCGGGAGAGGGAGAAGAGGCCCTCCTTCTCCTCCTCCTCCTCCTCCTCCTCCTCCTCCTCCTCCTCCTCCTCCTCCTCCTCCTCCTCCCTCCTTCTCCTCCTCCCTCCCTCTCCCTCCCCCTCCGAACGGAGGAGGAAGGAAGGAGGAGAAGGAGGGAGGGAGGGAGGGAGGGAGGGAGGGAGGACGAGGAGGAGGAGAAGGAGGAGGAAGAGGAGGAGGAAGAGGAGGAGGAGGAGGAGGAGGAGGAAGAGGAGGAGGAGGAGGAGGAAGAGGAGGAGGAGGAGGAGAAGGAGGAGGAGGAGGAGGAGGAAGAGGAGGAGGAGGAGGAGAAGGAGGGAGGAGGAGGGCCCCGGACCTCCGAGCACGCAGTCCGTTCCATCGCGCGCGCGCGTGCCTCGGTGCCGGCCTCTCCGGGGCCCGCCCTCGGGCCCACGGGGGCACCAGAGAGCGGAGACCCCGCACGAGAGGCTGGCCCTCTGGGGATGCACAGCGTTCGCTCCTGATTCTTCGAGAGGTCTTTGATTTTCTGGGGGGCCCAGATCCTTTCATTTCTATTTCTGATCTTTTTTTAGGGGGGGGGCAAGATCCTGTCATTTCTAATCCTTTCATCCTGGGCCTCGTCCTGGCCGCTGGGGGGCCAGGAACAGTCAGAAACGAGCACACTTAGAAGTGAGCACGATTAGAAATGAACGACGTGTAGGGTCGGGACCTCTTGGGCCAGTTTGGGAGGAGGCTGGGGGAGGAGAAGGAGAAGAATGAGCAGAGGGAGGATGGCTTTCCCAAACTAGGCTTGCATAGGGGTTCTTACTTGGTGGAAGATTGGTGTCTCGGGACCCAACTTTGCCACTTTCCCGGCCCTTCCTCGGGTTCCTGGGGTTCCTCGGGTTCCCCGTGTTCCTCGGGTTCCTCGGGTTCCTGGGGTTCCTCGGCTTCTTTTGGTTCATCGGGTTCCTCGGGTTCCCCTGGTTCCTCGGCAATGCCAAGCAATGCCAACCCCTGCAAAGCAATGCCAGACAAACGCCAAGCAATGCAAAACAACGCCAAACAGTGCCAAGCAAAGCCAAGCAGTGCCGAGCAATGCCACGCACGCCAAGTAATGCCGGCCAACCCATGCCAAGCAAGTGATTTTTTTTTCAGTTTTGCCGATCGGCGCGGGCCGTCGCCCCCCCCCTCGCTCCCCGCATGGAGTAAATCTTGGCTGTTTTTGGCGCCCGCTTCAGGCAGGTGGAGTTTCCCCCACAGGACGCACTGCTGCGAACAGTCGCCTTGAGCGGAGGTCTGGAGCCAGAACCCCCCCCCCTCCGCCCCCTCTGCCAATGACGAGACGCCGAATAAGAAAACGTCCACCAATGCCAAGCGATGCCAAGCGATGCCCAGCGATGCCACGCAATGCCAGTTAATGCCAAGCAATGCCAAGCAGTACCAAGCAGTGCCACAATGCCACAATGCCAGGCGATGCGCCCAGCGCTGCGCCCTATGCAATCGGTTTCCCCTCGTCGGGGTCGCGCTGGGTTCACAGTCGGGGCCCTGAAGAAGGAACCCTTTTCGTTGGGGAGGGGCTCCGCGTTCCTCAAGTGTTTCACAGCTTGCCTCAGGTTTTCCTTGTGTCTTCGATGGGGAATCGAAGTTCAACTTGTGGAAAAAAAGGGGCCTCGTTCCCTATTTAGGGCTCCTCGTTCCTTATTTAGGTTTCCTTAGGTTCCTTATTTAGGGTTCCTTAGGTCAACGCCCCGACTGTATCTGTTGCGTTCGCTTCGGGACGAGTGGCTCGCGTGGTCTGCCGGCAGCTGGCCCCCTGGCTCCGCCAGGGGCGCTGCCGAGGCCGACGCGGCTCCGCCGCAAACCAGACCCAGAGGGAGGAGGAGGAAGAGGAGGAGGAGGAGGAGGGAGGAGGAGGAGGAGGAGGAGGAGGAGGGAGGAGGAAGAGGAGGGAGGAGGAGAGAAGGAGGAGGAGGAGGAGGAGGAGGAGGAGGAGGAGAGGGAGGGGGAGGGGAGGAGGGGTAAGAAGAGTCGCGGGAACACGTGACAGGCGACCCCCCACCACCAGGCGTGACGCTGCCCCGCGCCCCAGCGAGGGGGCACCACCGTGACCAGAGGACCGATGAGGACGTTGGCGGTGGAGAGCGGGCTCGCAGGTGCCCCATTTTGGCCAGGGCGAGTGGCGAGGGACAGTGAGAGGAGCGAGGAGGGCGGACCTTCGCCTCTGCCCTCCTCCCTCCCGTCTTTGAGCCCCCCAAGCGCCGCCCCGCTGAGGGCCGCCGATTCTCCGTCATAAGACAGTTCCGCCTCAGGCTCTGTTATTCTGCCTCTTCTTATTATTACCATTATTAATATTATTAGTACTATCATCATTATTATTATCATTCGTATTATTATTAGTAGTAGTATCCTTATTATTAATTTTATTATTATTATTAAATTTTAATTATTAGTATTATTATTAGTATTCTGATTATTATTATTAATATTATTATTATTATTAATATTATCATTATTATTATTATTCGTCTTCGTCTTCTTCGTCATCTTCCCGCCCCCTCCCTCTCCTCCGCCGCCTCCTCCCCGAGACAGACGAAAATCTCGGGCGGGTGGCTGTGGGGGAATGACCTAAATTGATGGTGAAGAACAGGACCCTGAATGGGGCCCTTTAGAGCCCCTTGTGGAGCCAGCAGAGGTCCCAAAGGAAGGGAGCCCGAAAGGGCCCCCCTCAGGGCCCTTTTTTTCGCCCACGAATGGGGTCACCACCCCACTACCACCCGCCCGAAACCCGGAGGGATTGAACAAATCATCCGCTGTGCCTGGCCAGGGCCATCCTGGAACCCAGGATTGTGCACAGGCCCTTCCGGCCTCGGCCAGAGGGGCGTACATGCACCATGCCCAGGGCCGAGGAAGGGCCTGGCCAGGCGCGGTGGTGGTGCACAGAGGCGCTCTGCTTGACACACTCCGCCCGAAGTCCAGGATCCGGTGGCGGTGTCCGTCCAGCTGGAAGGGAAGCCTTCGGATCGCATCGTGCACAGTCGGCCCTGATTAGTAGGTCGACCCTGCCAGATCATGGAGGAGGAGGAGGAGGAGGAGGAGGAGGAGGAGGAGGAGGAGGAGTAGGAGCGAGAGAGGAGCAAGAGAGGAGCGAGAGAGGAGCGAGAGAGGAGCGAGAGAGGAGCGAGGAGCGAGAGAGGAGCGAGAGAGGCGAGAGGGGATGAGGAAAGCAGCAGGCACGACGAGGAGGAGCGGGCGAGAGGAGGGGTAGGCCAGCTCTCCTCCTCCAGTTCCTACCCTGAGCAGGACGCGGAGCGGGAGCGGGGCCCTGTCCCCCGCCTGCTCCTCACGGGAGCCCCGTCTTCGTGCCCTCGCACCCGTCTCCTCCTCTGCTGCTCTCGCACCTGCCCTGACCCCGTGCCCTCGCTGCTCCGGGGCCGGGGAGGACAAGGCAGAGACCGGGAGCGAGACGCGGAGCGGAGGATGGCAAGGCTCCTGGCTGCGCACAGGCAGCCCCCCCCCAGGTAGTCCGCGTTGGCCTCAACAGGCCCCCCCAGAAGTCCCAGCTAATTAGCCTCAACGGGCATCCCGAGAAGTCCTAGCTGGCCTCAACAGGCCCCGCGAGAAATCCGGGGCGGACGCCGCCGGAGGCGGCGCCAGGGTGTCGAGACCGCCCCGGGCTACTCGGGCGGGCCTGTTGAGGCCAGCTGGGACTTCTCGGAGGGCCTGTTGCGGCCAGCCGGGACTACCTGGGGGGGCTGTCTGTGCGCAACCCGAGTAGGAGTAGGCCAATGAGGAGAAGGAGGAGGAGGAGGAGGGAGAGGAGGGAGGAGGAGGAGGAGGAGGAGGAGGAGGAGGAGGAGAGGAGGAGCAGGAGGAGGAGGAGGAGGAGGAGGAGGAGAGGAGGAGGAGGAGCAGGAGGAGCAGCAGGAGCAGCAGGAGCAGCAGGAGGAGGGGGGGAGTAGGAGGGAGGGGGCAGGAGGAGAAGGAGGAGGAGGAAGAGGAGGAGAAGGAGGAGGAGGAGGAGACGCGGTGTCCACGGTCCTGTGCGCGGAGGATGGTGCAGAGGGTGCTCCCCTCGCCCTGGCCGGAGACGGTGGTCCCCACGATGGAGGACCCCTGGGCGCAGAATCAGCCTGGGCGTCTCTTCTCGCCATATCCTCCTCCTCCTCCTCCTCCTCCTCCTCCTCCTCCTCCACCTCCTCCTCCGTCTCGGCGAGCTCGCCACGAAGGAAATATCACGAGCTGCGAACGTATCCATATCCACGCCCCCGCGGTCTCGATTCCAGGGCGCGATCCCACGCATACGCGGCTGCACGGGTGCTTTCCGCGCGGGGCATCCGCGACAGAACGCCCAGTATCCGCGGGGTCGCGGCCCGCGAAAATGGATCCCGAGAGCTATAGGTCTCGAAGATGTTCGCCGTCCTCGGGCTTCGGGGGCCCTCCGCGGGCCCCAGGGCCGTCAGAGAACGACTCGGGATGACGAGCGAGTCTCGGAGGAGGCCCCCGGGGTCCAGGACCCGCTTCCCTCGGGACCCGCTTCCCCCGATCGCGGCTCCGTGTGCGGCGCCCTGGCCCCGCTCGCCTCCTCACGGGTCATGAGAGGCCCCTCCGGCCGAGCGGGGAGACGGCCGCCACGCCGTCTATCTCTCTGCAGATGTTGGGTGTACGTCCGTTGTTCCCTCTTCCCACTTCAGTCGTCCCCCCCACGTATCCTTTCCCCACCCCCCTCCTCCGTGCCACCCCTTCCCCGACCACCCCCCTTGCCCACATCCCCCCGTGCCCCACCCCTTCCTCACCCTCTTTCCCGACAGGAGGGCCACAGCGGCGACAGCAAGAACGGGGTAACGGCGTCGGTACAGTCTGCACGCAATGATGAGCCTGCCTGCCAGCAGGCGCCCTCCCTGGTCCTCCTACTGCAGCGTCTCCTCCATTTCCTCCTGTCTCCTGCTCCTCTTCCCTCCCGCGACCCTCCTTAGCAGTGACAGGCCCCATCGCAGCTTCAAGGTGTTTATACTGCGCTAGGCGTGCAGTTCGACCCACAATACATTCCTAGTCCCCCGACGCCGCGACGCCGTGTCTGGTTCACAACGTGGACCCCCAGAGGTCTCGCCCATTCCTGGACAGCTGTTCTTCAGCTCAGGTCGTTTTCTGACGGCCCTGGTGCCCGTTGTAATAGCACCCAGAGGCCGAGTCTTGTCAAAGATCCCGCGCCGTCATTTTTTCCGACGCCTGCATCTGAGGGCAGTCCAGCTCTGGCGGCGCCCACAAGGGGGTGGCGCGGGGTGGTGGGCTTCTGAGAAGAAGGCGGGGCCTCTCAGAAGGGCCCGACCAGCTGAGAAGGCCTCCTGGACAACTCTACAGGGCATTCTTCGGACGGGGCTAGGACGACGATAGATCCGTTCCAGAGCGTTCCGGAACGCTCTCCGAGCGTTCTGGAACTCTCTGAAAAGGCCGCGGCGCCCGAGGCATCCTCCAGAGCCGCAGACTCTCAGCGACTCGGGATCTGTTTTCGCCCGATTGGATCCTCGTCCTGGCTTCGTCTTGATTCTGAGAAACCCCTATCCGCCCGCTTGGCAGCCCCCCCCCGCCCTCTTTGGAAGGAGGCCGCACCCATCGCTGCCACCCCCTCGTGGACGCCGCCAGCAGTCCGGTCCTGCTCTCATGGGCAACGTTGAGGGGGGATGGGCTCAGGGGGGGTGACTGGTTATTGAAAGTTTTCGGACGTTTTCGTTGGTTCCCGGCGGTTTTCCAGCATCGGCATGCCTTCCGGAGACTGCGCCTCGTCGACAGCGTTCTGGGGGTGCTTGGATCGTCCCAAACGGCCGCTGCAGGCTAGAGAGATGGCCTGAAAACCACCGGGGGAATCAGGGGCAACTTAGGAAGTATGGCTCAGGGAGGACGCATCGATTTCCGATCGCCCATTGATCGCCGATAGTTGCCAGACAGCCCACCCCGCCCAGGAGCGTGCGGATCTGCTATCGGGGGCCCATCGTTCGTCTTTCGGCGATGCATCGCCGATTACAACTCGGTGTTCCCCTCCCTGAGCCAGTCCCCTGCTGGGTTTCGTGTCATAACTCGGGCCTCCGGCGGCCGTTCGGGACGATCGGGGCACCCCCAGAACGCCCCAGATGCTGGAAGGCATCCCGAGGCTGGAAAACCGCCTCTTGGACCGAAGAACATGTTCGAAAACCTCAAACTTCGAACCGTCGATGTTTCCACCCCTTTTACCAGTCGCCCCTACCGTTCCCTCTCTCCCCTCCGCTCCCCTCCACCGCCAGTGCGCGCGCACCCCGCCGCGGCAGGAAGGGGAGCAGTTCCTGTCGGAGCTCGCGGCGCAATTCCAGGAGGCCATGTCGCCTGGACCAGCGCAGGAGGGAGGGAGGGAGGAAGAGAAGGAGAAAAGCCAGTGTAAGCCCAAGAGTCATCAGTCATCAACGATGTTGGAATAAACCCTCCCTCCAAGCTCCTTCAGAGGCCCTTACAACGGTTCATTTTCATTGAGGGAACAGCCTCGTTGGACGACCACCGTTTGAAGACCCTGAAGAATGCCGAAACATTGTTCTTGGGATTCGGAGGTGGGGGAGGGAGGGGGAGGGAGGGAGGGAGGGAGGTGGAGGGAGGGAGGGAGGGAGAGGGAGGGAGGAGGGAGGGAGGGAGGAGGAGGAGGAGGAGGAGGAGGAGGAGGAGGGAGGAGAGGAGGGAGAGACGAGGGAGTTGCGAGGTAGGGATGAGGGAAAGAAAGAGGAGGAGGAGCAGCAGGAGGGGGAGGAGGAGGAGGAGCAGCAGGAGGACCAGCACGTGACGTCAGGGATAAGCATCCTGCCGCCCGATCAAGCGTCAACGTTCCGAGCCTTTCCCAGCCTTCCGCTCCGCTGAGCGGTGAGACGCGCCATCCGCTTGCAGGGTACAGCGTGCCGCAGGGGCAGCCGCCGCGACACGAGACGTAAACGAAAGTCCCCGACCCTGACCTGCTCTCTCCATCATGGGCCCGTCTCTGATGGCCCCCAGGCCCGGGACGGGCCTCTCCAGGGGCTCGATTCGGGGGCGGAAAAGAGGGGGGTGATGACTAGGGGGGGGGGGGAGATCATGGCGGGGGCCATGATATCTCCCCAGATCTCATGGCGCCTCTACTTCTTTCATTGCGTCCCTGGCCCCCCCGCTGGGCCGCGCACATGCCGCCGGTCATGATTTGCACCCCCCCCTCTTGGACACCCCCCCTCTTGGCCGCTCCCGATCGATACGTGGAACAGCTGGCCGTCGCGGCTTCAGCGTGACAGAGGATGTGTCTGGGCACGGCATGTTCACGCCGCGTCGACGCGGCGGCGGCCCCAGCGCGGGCGATCGAGGTGAAGCGCCGCCAGTGGCCACCGAAGGCCGACATCGAGCGACCTGTGCTGTCGGAGGGCCACGGCCGCTCCTTCAGACCCCCCGCCCCGCCCAAGGCCTGGGCGCTGGGCCGTTGGCTTTCGGTCTTCGGATCGCAGCTCGGCGCTCTGGCGGCCGCTATCGGCACGAGCCGGGCACCCCCAGAACGCTCTCGGCGAGGCGGAGCCGTTCGAGAGCACCCCGAGGTTGGAAAGCCGCCGATCACCGACGAACGCACCCGAAAATGTCGAACCTAGAACCCGAAACGTCGGTGCCAGAGACCAACGCTGGCGTCATCGCAGCACAGCCCTGCCGCAGACTGGGCCCACGCAGTAGCGGGCCTCCAGGAGGCTTCCTCTGCGCGATCTGCTGTTCGATGATCTTTGCGCTCAGGGTTTCGGGGGAGAGGAGCAGGAGGATGGGAAGGAGAAGGTTGGAGGAGGAGGGGGCGGAACGTGAGAGAGAGAGAGAGAGGGAGGGAGGGAGGGAGGGAGTTAGGGCGGGATGAAGGGAGACCCGGAGGAGTGGGAAGGGAGAGGATGAGGATGAGGAGGATGAGGATGAAGAGAAACGATGAGATGAGGAGAGGAGAGAGAGAGAGAGAGATGAGGATGGAGAGGAGATGAGATGAGGAGGAGGAGGAGGAGGAGGAGGAGGAGGAGGAGAAGGAGGAGGAGGAGGACGAGGAGGGGGAGGATGAGGAGGAGGGGGAGAGAGGGAAGGAGGGGAGGTCGGAGGAGGAGGAGGAGGAGGAGAGGAGGAGTAGGAGGAGGAGGAGGACGGAGGAGGAGGAGGGAGGGGAGGAGGAGAGGAGGAGGAGGAGGAGGGAGGAGGAGGAGGAGAGGAGGAGGAGGAGGAGAGAAGAGAGGAGAGAGGAGAGAGAAGAGAGGAGAGAAGAGAGAGGAGGAGGATGAGGAGGAGGAGGAGGCGAGGAGGAGGAGGAGGAGGAGGGGAGGGAGGAGGCGGAGGAGGAGGAGAAGGAGGAGGAGGAAGGAGGAGGAGGAGGAGAGAGGAGGAAGGAGGAGGAGGAGAGACGAGGAGAAAGGAGGAGGGAGGAGGAGCAGGAGGAGGAGGAGGAGGAGGCGGAGGAAGAGGAGGATGACGAGGAGGAAGAGGAGGGGGAAGAGGAGGAGGAGGAGGAGGAGGAGGACCAAGAGCCATCGACGTTGTTGGAATTAACCCTCCCACCAAGCTCCCTCCCTATAGGCCCCTATAAACGTTCACCTCGACTGAGGGAACGGCCTCGTTGGAAGATAACCATTTGAAGACCCGGAAACATGCCAAAATATTGTTCTCGGGATTCCAACGCCTCGAATCCACCTGACTGTTGGGTCTTGACGACCCTGAACCGCTCAAGAACACCATTCTTTGGACTTCAACACCGCGAATCAACGTCACTGTTGCGCCCTCTTAATCCTGAACCCTTCCCAAACACCGTATCTAGTACACTGACCATGGGAATCCGTTAACCGCTTGCATGTTTCTTCAGCGAATGTGCGCGGTGCAAATGATAGAGCCACATTTGAAGAATGGCCCGCCCTCAATCCGTGGAGCTATTGTGTCTGTTGTTGTTGTTGTTTAAAAAGGTGCGCGGCGCTGAGGCGAGAGCAACATTTTGAGAACGGGTGGCCCTTAATCCGTGAAACTTTTGCAATCCTCAAGAACGAATGTGGGCGGCGCAAGAGCGAGAGCCACATTTTGAACAGGCCAGCCCTCCATCTGTGAAGCTGCTGCCAATGTTTAAGCTCCAGGGTCATAAATAGTGGGGAAGTCTCAGGCGACACGCCCGGCCCTCCCTAAAAACTGGCCTCGGGGTGCGACAGGGACAACTTACAAGGAGAAGGAATGGAGGAGGAAGAGGAGGAGGAGGAGGAAAGGAGGAGGAGGAGGAGGAGGAAGGAGGCAGGAAAGGAGGAGGGTGGGAACGGACGATTCCAAGGAGGATGAGAAGAAGGGCTTTGGAGACCTGTTGATGTGAGAGGTTTTTGATGGACGACTCAGGCTATCTTAGGGGCTCTCTTGGGGTCCCCATGGTCCCCCTTGGGGCATGACTGGTGCCCTGTTTGGGCTCGTTGTTGGGGTCTGTGGGCCCTCTTGGCGCTCATTGGAGTGGTCGGGGAGGCCTTTTGGCCCTCACTGCACGAAAAGAGGGGCGAAACGTGGTGGGGGTGGGAAATTCAGGTTCCCCCCATCGGAGGCTCAAACATTGGGGTCTTGAGGCCCTCTGGGGCCGCTCGTGGGCGTCTCTTGGACGCCCTTGGGGCCATTCTGGGGCTCTTTTTGGGAGGAGCCTCCTCGAATGCCTCTTGGAAGCTGTTTGGAAACTTCTTGGGGCGGGGGGGGGAGCATCTTGGCTGGCCCAAGGCCGTCGTTGAGCATCTTGGGTGCCTCAGGGGTCCTCTTGAGGCCCCTTAAGGATCTCCTGGGGCCCTTTTGGAGGCCTCTTGGAGGCCCCTTGGCGCCTTCTGGGCGCCTCTCTTGGGGCCATCCTGGAGGACATCGATCAAAACAGATAGGAGCCTTACTTAGCGTTGCCCCTCGGGAGCCCCACCAATTGCCTCTTGGAGCGCTCGTGGGGCGCCCTTGGGGCGCTCTTGAGCGCTGTTGGGGCCGTCTTGGGGCTCTGTTGGGCCTCTCCTGTGGCTCTCTGGGGCCATCTTGAGGCCTCGGAAGGCCATCGAAAGCAAACAGGCAACGATACAATACTCACGTGCTTCCCTTCAGTTTTTGAAGGATGGATGCTTCTTGGATGCCTCCTTGGGGGTCTCGGAGGCCCCTTGGAGCTGCCTTGGAGCGGTCTTGGGGCCTTTTGGAGCATCTTGAGAGCTATCGTGAGGCATCGTGCGCTATCTTGAGCCATCATGGAGGTCATCTCTGGCTCTCCGAGGCGCTCTTGGAGCCGCCTTAGGCCATCTTGGACGCTCTAACTAACCGCGGGGCGCCCCGTCCAGGTCCAGAGGAGGGGAATGGGGAGGGGCCGAGACATCCCCTAGATAGCAAGCCGTCTAGCTCACTCCCACCCGCCCTCCCAAGGCATAAGTAGCACCCGAACCTCAGCATGTTCAGCGGTCGTCTTTGGATGGACAGCTACTGGGAACCAAAACCAAGCCCATGTGCGCGACGTTGGGGCGAGGTGCGCCACGCGTGCCAGGCGCGCCACGCGCGCCAGGCACCCCTGGGGCCCGAGCGTGGCAGGCACGCCTGGTGCGCCAGATGCGCCACGTGCCTCCGCGTGCGCCAGGTGTGCAGCGTACTCCAGCCGCGCTAGGTGCGCCACCTTCGGGGCACGCGCAGAGTGTGTCAGGTGCGCCTGCGCACGTGACAGCACACATCGGGAAACATGTCGGCCCCCACCGTCCATGTCGAAAACCAATGCCCATCATGGTGTCTGATGGGCCTGCGCACAGCAAGCCATACGCCACCACTTGACAGTGATCGCGGGGTGGCCGCGTATGATCCAGATTTTGCCGCGAGGTGCATGTTGTATTGTTTTCATGTCAGGCATGGTAGCCTTGCGCGCAGCAGGCAATATGCTCACACCCCCGTCGCCCCTGTCAAAAACCATACAATGTGCTCGCGGGCCCCACAAACATGACTCCAGACTTTGCCCAGAGTATACTTTGTATTTTCTTCGACAGGGATAGTGGGGGGCCCTCATGGGGTCCTCATTGTTCCTCGTTGGCTACCGTACAGTGATATGCCCTTCCTCGAAGGGGAAGAAGGGGGGTGGAAGATGAAGCGCTCTAGACCACCTACGCCCAGATGGCTGGTGGGACTCCCACTTGGTGGGGCCAGGGAGTTCCCATTCGGTGGGTGATCTTGGAACCCACTGTAAATCCAGAAAGAGACAAACAATAGCTGATAGGGTTCCGCGAAGATACCTGCTCCGCTGAGCCGTCGGGATCGCCTCGAGCTTCTGTTTGACCTTCGGCCATACACGCCGAATGCCGGGTCGCAGCTTGGGGCGCGACCTCCGTTGTTGGAGCCAGAGGGCGAAAGTATCGGAAGTGAAACGAGTGGCGGGGACTTGACCAATCGCCTCAAGCTCAGCCAGCGATGTCAAACATATCCCCTTGGTTCTGGAATGGCATGCTGCGCCCAACCTGCGACGATACTTGACCAACTCTTGACCGTAGACCCCATGGATATGATATCCATAACTCTCCGCCGCCTGTGCTCCATGCATTTCCAGCCGAGAGGTCAGCTGGGATCTCAGAGTAGACCTCGAACAGTTGACTGAGAAGGAGGAGGGAGGGACAAAGGCGGTATGAGGGATGGACGGGGATGAGCAAGGACGGAGGGACGAGGGAGGGAGAAGCAGGACGAGGAGGGGGAATGGAACGTGGAGGTTGACTGTTGGCCTTCGCACAGGTCGGCCCCGCCGGCCCGCCGGACAGCCCGCCGCCCGAGCGGGCGGCGGGGGCGCAGGAGGAGGCACCTCGGGGGGGCGCCGTGCGAGGGAGGGAGGGAGGGAGGAGGGGGGGGAGAAAGGTAGAGGGAGGAGGGAGGGAGGAGGGAGGTGGAGGAGGGGCGAGGGAGGGAGGAGGGTGGGTGGGAAGGAGGAGGAGGAGGAGTAGGAGGAGGAGGGAGACGGGGAGGACCCCATCCCTCCCTCTCCCTCTCCTCCTCTTCCTCTTCCTCCTTCTCCTCCTCCTCATCCTTCTCATCCTCATCTTCGTTATCCTTCCCTGGAAGCCCGAAGGCAGGTCTGCCAGAAGGGGACCAGCGCTCCTCCAGGATCGGGATCCCCCGAGCAGTGTGGTCAGGCGGTGCGGTGACCACGCCGCGTGGTGCGTCGGTGGGGATTCGGGGCAGCCTCACGGTCCTGGGAAGCTGCTCGTTCTCGGAGGACGTCGCGGCGACGGGGGCCTCCAGGGTCCCGAGACCGCGCGGCGACGGACCGCGCGGGGATCCCGCGGTCACCGCACGGTCCGTCACCGCACCGTCTGGGGACCCCCAGCGGATGCCCGAGGCTGGCGGCCGAGAGAGAGCCACGCGGGCGGAGAGGAGAGGCCAAAGCGGCCGAGCGACTGAGCAGAGGTCCTCTGGAAGGGGGGGGCGGTCCTGCAGATGAAGAAACCAGCGCCGATTCCATGGCCACAGCAGAACGGGAACCTGGCGGATGTGCAAACCACGGGGCTCTACGGAAAGCAGGCAGGAAGAGAAGACGGTGACGCTCCAGAGGTACCGAACACAAGGTACAGAAACAGCATGTTCACGCGACTTTCAGAACCACTCACATCGACTCCTTCACAGATGACGACCGCACGATGCTGGCGAACCTCAGCCAATGTCATCGACGAAGAGACGAAAACAAGATAAGATATTGTTTCAAAATCTAGAAGCCCGGAAAGACGTAAGTATGCATGTGTTCTTGACAGCGCTTGGCAGTGACAAGGCGGTGACTCGTTTGCGCGAGATGTAGGGTACACATCGACATGTCGCACGAGGAAGGGAAGATATCGTGGCATTACGCTCGAAGAGGCTGTCCTGGACAACCAAATGCCATTGGTGAGCTGACACGTTCAGAATGGGAGCAGAGGTCGAAGCTCCCAATTGCAACACGTTCTACTTGGATTGAGGAGTCCAACGAGAAGAATTGGCGAGATAGTTCGATGCATAACTTTTTCCCGATGCAAAAGAGTTTCGCGCTACATGTGGCTTGCCAGCGGGATGGGCGTCAGTAAAGATTCGAGGACATTTCATTGAGGCGGTGGATTCAGAGTATCAGTCGGTGCTTCTGGACAGAGGGAGACACGAGTCCCTGAGCGTAGGCAGCAGCTGGGCATCTGGGACATGCTGAAGCGGAACTCCAGCGATCGGGTACCGCTTCGTTGACCAGTACCCCCCCTATGGAGCCCTACTTTCTCCGCGTCAACATCGCCGATGCATCGCGAACGTCGCCGATGCATCGGCCATGCTTCGGGAATGCATCGGCGATGCGGCGCCAGCCTCCGACCTCTCGGAGCAGAGTTTGGGAGCCTCCAACATATAGCACGCCTGGCATCCTCCGCTCTTTGGTTTTCCCCGCTGGATCTGGCAAAGTAGTTACTGGCTCGCAATGCCCTGGTTGGCTCTGGCATTCGCCATGCTGCGGTGCCGTGTGCCTCATCGCTTGCTTGGCATCGATCGCTCGGACGTGTGTGTGTGTGTGTGTGTGTGTGTGTTCTTTCTCGGCCGGCGAGGAGCATCTTAGAGTCTTAGATCACCGTGCGAACAAATTTGGCACGAGACCGAGGTTATCCACGGGGAGTGGACGTCCGAGCGATGACAGGCTTGGCGTTTCCTTGGCTAGGGCCAGTTGGCCCTGGCGTCTGAGCATGCGCAGGACTCCCGACGCCATGACTCTTCATGACGTGGACCCCCAGAGGCATCGACCCATTCCCTGGGACAAGCTTTTTATCCCGAGTCGTTTGGTTGGCGGTCCCGCGGCCCATTGAGGGCCCCCAAGGGCCGAAAGCAGCGAACATTCCCCGTCGTGGCATCTCCCGCCTCGAGGGGGTCTCCCCCCTCGAGGTCGCCAGTGCCTCGACTGGTCCTCTCCCTCCCGCTGCTGCTGCCCCACCTCCTCCTGCTCGGCGAGGTGCAGGCCTTCGCTTCAGTGTAGAAGGCCGCCTCTTCTGCGGAGGAAGCCGCCGCTCGGGTCGGATCGGACGCGGGGGAGGAGGAGGAGGAGGAGGAGGAGGAGGAGGACGAGGAGGAGGAGGCCGGTTCGCACCAGTGTGAGTGCCGGGAGGCGTCTTGAGTGGTGCGCCTGGGGCATGCTGCGGCGGACCCGGGGGGCTCACGCCCGTGCACTCGCAGCCTCTGCGGCCCTCCCCAGGCCCCTCCTCCACTGTCTCCTCCCTCTCCAGCCTCCTCCTCCTCTCTCCTGCTGGTCCTCCTCCTCCTCCTCCTCCTCCTCCTTATTACTCCTCCTTATTCCTCCTCATCCCTTTGCGGCCCCCCCTCTTCCTAATCCTCAATCCTCCTCCTCCTCCTCCTCCTCCTCCTCCTCCTCCCTCCTCCTCCCTCCTGGTCCTCCTTCGCCTCCTGGCGTCCTCGGCGTGCCGAGCTCGTGCCGCAGGGTGCTGCCTTGCAGCTGCGTCGTCCTCTATTCGTGCGGCCAGGCGACGTCCGCGGGGGCGCCCAGTTGGACGGCACGCGCTGCAGCGCGCCAGAGGGACTGGCGCGTGTCGCGCCGCCGGCTCAGGACCATCACGGCCTGGCGCTGCACGCTGGCCGCTTCCCAGGTCCGGAGCGTCCAGGTCCCGAGCTCGTCCTGGCCTTCCGCCCCGCGGAGCGGAGCCACACGCTACCAGTTTGCAGGGCATGGCACGGTGGCCGCCAGCGCGACACGCCAAGCAAAAGTCCCTGACCGTGCGAGGAGTGGACGGAGCCACTGGCCGAGGGCGAGGCGGGCGGATATTGAGGGGGGGAGGTGGCTGCGGAGACGTCGGCCGACTTGGGGCGGACACGGGGCGGAAGAGGAGGCGACAGGGGCGGAAGCAGGAGTTGGAAGGGGATGGGGGATGGAAGGAGGGAGGGGGGCCGCCAGGTCTGGGCTACTCAGCAGAATCAAGACGGCCGGTTGCTCGTCCTTTTCTGCGTCCGGAGGCCGTCTCCTGGCCCCATGACTGAAACAACACTCAAGATGAAAAGCAGGCCCGAGAGAAAGGGTCGAGATATCCAGGGGCTGACGTCGCAGAGAAATTGCGACGTCGAAGGAGAGGGAAGGGGAGAAGAGGAGGAGGATGGAGCATATGTGGCGGTTCGGCTTAAGCAGCGGATCTTGCATGTCTGAGGCTGACATCTCGGATGCGATGAAGGCCTCCTGACGAGCCTGTGGGCGCGGCAGGCCTAATCGCGAGCGCTTCCGCTCTGCACGCTCGCGGCTGCTGGCTGTCCGTCCACCTCGCCCCTCGCATCTCTCCCCCCCCAGGCCGATTCCTTGGGCCCCGCTGCGCTGGCAGTGTTGGAGGCGGACAGGCAGTTCAGCCAGGAGAGGGGTTTGGGGGTCC